GCCTCAGCCTTCTGAGTAGCCGGAATTACAGGCATGCGCTACCACGCACGGCTGATTTTTTGATTTATTGTAGAGATGAGGTCTCGCCTGCCCAAGAAGGTCTCGAACTCGCGGGCTCAGGCAATCCACTCTCCTCAGCCTCCCAAAAGTGCGGGATTATAGGCTGACCCACTGAGCCTGGCTAGAATATTCTTTTTTTAAAAAGTACATGACATACATTCCCCATCTACCAGGTTTTCTTGAAGAATTCTCACAAAAATTCCTAAAGTATTTGTTTACAGCAGAAAAAAATTCAAATAATCATCCTATTTTTCTTGGTTTAGAAAATTACTGTTTCTTAATGTATTAAAATTATATGACTGATATTTAAATGGAAGAAATACACATTTAATTTAAAAACTAAGCATAGAGTTTGCTAATTCACCCTATCTTAAAATGTAATTAACAAATAATACTTTAGATAGTGACTAGCACCAACAAAGATATTATACATTAACTATAAATGTCTATACTTTTTGGCAAACAACTTGAAGGCAGTATCTTGTTTATCTTTTACAGTCTTTGTAGAAGAGTATTTAGAATAAATATGCCAGTGAGAACCCTGTGTCTTTAATGCAACGATGGCCCATCAGTCCTTTTCAGGATAATCAAGAAACACAAAAAATAAGATGTAGAAAATCAATAAATAAAGAAGATATGTTAAAAACAACCTCTGTGTTTTTACAACTTTGTACAACAGAGCAAGGAAGAATCAAATGCTTTTGAGAGAAACCAGTTGAATGTACCCAATGAGTTGATCCAGCCCTTCTGCCATTTGTTTTCTTCTCAGCAAGCAAAACAGTTGAGGTCAGCCTTTCACACCTGGCCAGTCCAGCCCAACCATTGCCTCCCCCTCCCTTGTCCAGAGAGACAGTTTAAAAATGCTGTTTTAAACTGATACTGACAATATGTTAACCTCACTGTTGACATTCTGGGATGATCAAGGAAAAATGACTCATTAAAACAAACCCTAAAGACTTCAATCACACACATTCTCCTTGTTCTCCCTTTTTGACACTTTTTTTCTTCCAAAGTGCCAAAACTAAGCAAGAAACATCTCACCTTTAAATACCTCATGTTGTTAACGGCTGTTGGTGAGGACGTGACTCACTGTTACGTTAAGTAAATTAATTAACAGAATTTTGATATTTTTCACCTGAATTTGAGAGTGCCATCTTACTTTTTAACTTGTTATATGAAGATCTTACAAATGCTGAGTTACTGGGCTTCATTTTCTTATTCGGGGGCTAACATTTGTCTAGAAATCCTTTCGAGGAGGTAGAAGAGGTGAACTATGACTCCATTTCCACCTGTCCATCTGAAAGAGCTGCTGTCAGGATCAGTCGGAGTCAAGAAGCTGCAACGGCTGGATCAACTCATCGAGCGCATTCAACTGGTTTCTCTCAAGAGTCTCTGTCCTGGCCTGACCTGGGGTGGCCATGGGAGCCCTGCCCAGGGCACCTTTTGAGTTCCAGAAAAAGTGAGGGCCCAACTTTGGCACAGAGGCTGGGTGCCTAGCTTTGGTTCCTCTGGACAAGGGAGGGGGACGCGATGGTTGGGCTGGGCTGGCCAGCTGTGAAAGGCTGACTTCAACTGTTTTGCTTGCTGAGAAGAAAACAAATGGCAGAAGGAAATTTCAAAGTGCAATGCTCCACACTGACTTCTACAGATTTTCAAATCTGTCCAGTATAATTTCACACTTAGAAAATTTTCAAGAAATTCTGCTTCCTCTTCATCCAGACTCATCAACTGTTATTGTGCTCCAGTTGTTCTCTCTTTCTCTGTCCACACACACAGACACACACACTCACACTTGCATACATAGTTCTGAGCCACTTGAGAGTAGGCTTCACATATCATGTTGCTTTTTCTCTTACTACTTCAGTGTATATTTTCTAAAAACAAGAATATTCTCTTTCCTAACCATAGTCAGTATATACCAAATCCTGGAATTTTAAAAGTAATATATAATTCTATTATTTAATCTATAGACCGGGTTCAACAATTGATCCTAAAATGACCTTTCACCAATAAACTTTTCTATAGTACAGAATCCTGGCCAGGATCACGTATTACACTGAAGGAGCATGCCACCCTAGTCTCCTCTCTGACACTGGTATTACTGAAGAACAAAGGTCAAAAATTTTTTTAAGTCAGTGTCTCACTCTATCACCCAGGGTAGAGTGCAGTGGCATGATCACGGCTCACTGCAGCCTCAAACTTCTGGGCTCAGGTGATCCTTCCACCTCAGTCTTCCAAGTAGCTGGAACTACAGGTGCACACCACCATGCCTGGCTAATTTTTTAATTTTTTGTAGAGACAGGTTCTCACTATGTTGTCTAGGTTGGTCTTGAAGTTCTAGCCTCAAACAATCCTCACACCTGGGCCTTCCAAAATGTTGGGATTACAGGTGTGAGCCAATGCACCTGGCCCAGGCCAGGTATTTGTAGAATGTCCCTCAAATTGGGTTTTCTGACTTTCTTTTATGATCAAAATTATGCATTTTGATTATAACACATAGCTGATGCATCCTTTTCAGAATATGGACATAGTGTTTTTGTTCCACAACTGGTGAGGTTAATTTTGATTAACTTGGTTAAGGTGGCATCCAATTCCTCCACTGTACAGTTGCTATCTTCATTCTGTAACTAATAAGTAACTTGTGGAGGGATGATATGAGAGTACACATGCTTCTCACCTTATGATGGGGCTTTGTCCTGATAAACCCATTGTAAGCTGAAAATATCCCAAGTTGAAGGTACAGTCAATCACTAACCTACTACACACCAGAGCTCAGACTACCTACCTTTCCTACCCTGGGCCTGAGATCTACCATATCTCTAAAGAAGTCTGGCTACTGGTAGCAGGGAAAAGTAGAATCCAGATCTGGCCAGTGAGTGTGCTTACTGCCATGGAAGCCACTGCTTCTGAGGCCTCTCATCAGAGCAAGGGTACATGTACTCACACTCACTCCATAAATCATGAGTTTATGCTGATGCTGATCCTTCCTCTCCAACCCCACAGGGCTCTTCCTTACCTTCCCCTGCCTATATTTGTATTTTCCTTTCTCTACAGGAAGGTCAACCTACTTCCTCCGTTGCTCAAACCTACACTATACACAACATAATTTTAGAATTTCTGTACTCATATCATTATGCAAAATAAACCTATGAAGCAGAGTTTAAGATCTGTTTGCAGTTCTTTTTGTTTCTTTAGAGTGAGGGTATATTATGTTCAAAAGTTACTGAAATCAATTCCCTCTCCTTCAATGTCATTCGGTTATTTACTTGAAAGATAGTTGATCATCTTTTTTTCAGTTTTACATTTGTTCCTGTCCTTGTAGATTTGCTTTATGAATATGTAAAACATGATTCAAAAACATACAAAAGTCAAACCATGTCAAAGGTGTACTCAGAAAAGTGGCATTCCCTCCCCATCCTTCCATCTCCTTCTCTCCTACCCTTTCTGGGGAGCCCACCTCATCAGTTCCTCATATCATATACATAAAGTATACAGAACTTTGAAACAACCTATCATAATGCACTGGTTTTTTTTTTTAAACATGACTTCCTCAAACTCATGAGAATGGCCCAAAGTCTCTTATCATGGTGGCAGCTGGACTGCTATCAACAGCTCTGTATTTACTTGCTTGATTACTTTCAAGTCTGTTGACCAAACTTGCTAGAAGTCTGAAGCACGGATTTGGGGTAAGTACCAGGTGTTATTCATTACCTGTTCCTCAGAAACCTCTAGAGGAGGGGATGCTGCCTGTTCGGACTGCCGGCCATCCTGATAGTTGATGTTCTGTCGCTGACGTAAAGGAGGGAAAAGACGATTCCAGTTGATCATTCCTCCCTAAAAAGAGATCAACACACAATTACCAGACACATTTGGAGCAGAGCCATCATGATGCTTGGGAGAGCTTTCTCTCGATGCAGTCACATCCATGGACTGGGAAGTGAAATGTCACACTGATCTGCCCTAGGCGAGCAACTCAAATCCCAAGTTATCCCACCATCCTTCAATCGATGGGATGACACAGGTGGCCTGCAGCAGGTACACAAGAGAAGAGAAGGTGACAGGCCGTGAAAAAACTATTGGTAGAATCTGGCCCTGGAAGGCAGTGAAGGGCACAGACACTCCTAATCTCAGCCCCACTGAATCCTCACTGACCCTGTTCAACTCCAGTTGACTCTTAGAAACCCAGGGCTTACAGAGCGTGTCAGGAGAGAAGACACAGAGAGGAGGCTAATTCACTGTAGGCAACCAGAAAGCTGGAGTTCCCAACAGCAGCCTTTTGAAATGACCCCCCCCCTTTCTCATTTAAGAAAATTCTGAGCGTGCGTAGTGGAGGGAGACTACGGGCTGTGATAAAACCTAGGCTCAGCAATGGGCTAGAGCCTGTAAAGGGACTCTCACAGGGCAAGGTCAGAAGTCAGGCTCAGTACTGCGGGGGCCTCTATGGATACTGACTGGTGGTCATGCCATTCCTTGCTTAGTCTATGTCAGGGGTCCCCGGTCCCTGGACCACAGGCCTGTACCAGTCTACGACCTATTAGGAACCCGGCCACATAGCAGGAGGTGAGTGCAGGTAGATTATATTCTCATTGGAGCAGGAACCCCAGTGTGAACTGTGCATGCGAGGGATCTAGGTTGTGGCTCCTAGTGAGAATCTAATGCCTGAGGATCACCCTCCCCTACTGCCTTGGGCTGTGAAAAAATTTATATATGTATGTATTGAGGCAGGATCTCGCCCTGTTGCCCAGGCTGGATTGCAGTGATGTGATCATAGCTTATTACAGCCTTGGACTCTTGGGCTCAAGTGATCATACTGCCTCAATCTCCTGAGGAGGACTACAGATGTGTGCTATTATACCTGGTAATTTTTTTTGTGTTTAGTTTTTGGAGAGACAGGGTCTCACTATGTTGCCCAGGCTTGTCTTGAATTCCTGGCCTCAAGCAATTCTCCTGCCTCGGCCTCCCATAGCATTGGGATTACAAGTGTGAGTCATTAGATAAAATATTTAAACATATTTTATATGCATGACTGAATATAAAAGTCCCAAGGTTCCAGAAACAAGTGCTCACTGGAACCAGAGCAGTAAGTCAGCAAGTTTCCCACAAGGGGGTGTGAGGGAGAACACAGGTCTGCCCACCCAGAACCACTTGTGCTTTATCACCTACGTGAGCTCAGGAGACGAGGCCTTGGGGATGAAAAATGCAGTAATTTTGAGCTCGATAATCTGCCTAAGAATACAACCTTCAAAAGGCAGCATCCTCAGTGAAAAGGGAGCGAGAAAATCAAACCAAAACGCCATCATCTTTAGTGAGAGAACAGGAATGTTGGGCCCTGCCTGAGAACTGAGAACTGCAGGCAAACTAGGAGGGGTTCAAGTTATACTACATATGAGGTCTCAGAACCCGTCAAAGAGTTACATAAAAATTGGCTCTGGGATAGAGATCTCTAAGGAGCCAAGCAGACACAACACAAAATTACTTAGAGGATGAGGTGGAAGCAAGATAAAAGGAGCAACCTCTGGGATGCTGCCTGCCAGCCTGGGCTGCCCACTTCTGGACTTACACGAGACAGAAATACACTTCCACCTTAACTTTCTGATACTTTGTGTTATCTGTCATCTGGAGCTAAACCCATATCTGACTGCTATATGCTCAAAATACAGAAGTGCATGTGTGTGTGTGTTTTGGTGAGTCTAGACTACTTAAAATTAAGTCTCGAAACTAGGCATGAACATTTTGAAGATGTATAATAAGAAAGGATTTCTCTACCAGTTATTAGGACATAATATTAGACTAATAGAGTAGTGAGGTGTCAGCACAAGTTAGGCATACAGTCCAAAGGAACAGAAAAGAGAGTCTAGAAATTAACAGTAAACACGAGCACTTGGTATATAATACAGGAGGGCATTACAAATCAGCAAAGAATAAACAGAACTGCTACAGATGGGGGAAATATAAAATCAGACCTTTAATTCATACTGCCCACAAAAAAATACCCTTTGCTGATTAAAGTTTTAAATGCAGAAAGCTAAGCTGTTAAAGTTTTTAGAAGAAATAAGAAAGTATTTTCATGTCACTGGGACAGGAAAGGATATCTAAAACAAACATGTAAAGCATAAACCACAGTGAAAAAAGATAGCTAAAAATTACCACACTGCCGATAGGAATTTCTGTATTAAAAGACAAACTACACAGGTGAACACAGTGGCTCACGCCTGTAATACCAGTACTTTGGGAGGCGGAGGTGAGAGGATTGCCTGAGCCCAGGTGTTTGAGACCAGCTGGGCAACTTGGGGAGACCTGGTCTCTACAATAAATCAAAAAATTGGCTGGGCATGGTGGCGCATGCCTTTAGTCCCAGCTACTTGGAAAGCTGAGGTGGAAGGATCATCTGAGCCCAGCAAGTTGAGGCTCTGGTGGCCATGAGTGTGCCACTACATGCCAGGCTGGGAGACAGAATGAGACTCCAACTCAAAACAAAAACAAAAAACAAACTACAGACTAAGAGAACATGTTTACAACATATAACTGACATAGAACAATATTCAGAATGCATATAGAACACATAAATCAACAAGAAAAACAAATGACTCAAGAGAGAGGTGGATAATGTCTATGAACAGGCAAGTTACAGAAGAGGAAACTGAGTCAGTAAACATATGAAAAGATATTCAACCTCACTAGTACTAGGGAAACACGAATGAAAACAATAATCAGTTATTTCTCACCTACAAGACTGGCAACAACACACAGCCTAACCATACCCAGTGTGGGGGTGATATGAAAGAAACAGGGACTCCATAAATGGTTGATGAGTGCATAAACCGGAAACTTTGGACAGCAACGTGCTAGAATCTAGCAAGCCACTCTGGTCGATGACCCAGCATTCGTCTTCGTGAGCAGTGAGTGCCCATGGGTCCACCTACTAGGATGTTCTGTGATGTGCTGGTTATATATAATACTCCGTAAGAAAATGTAAAAAAGTAAATTGTTCCTAAGTAGAGAAATTCATACGTTATTCTAGGATCTATAGATATTATAAATATTATATGAACAGTAAGTGAACTAGGTCTACATGGGTAAATCTCAAAAACAGCATGTTGAATGAACACAAAAAGTTGTACAAGAATATATATGACACCATTTATATAAACTTAAAAATAGAGCAATAGGTTATATTTTATATAAATACATTATTTTAACATTTTCTGATGTTCAATGCATTTTATTCATTATTATTATTAATTTTTGCATTTCGAGCTAGCATTTCTTTTTTAAATATAAATTTTGTTTTAGACTCGGGGGGTACAAGTACTTGTTTGTTGCATGGACATATTGTGTCGTGGTGAGGATCGGGCTTCAGGTGACCCACTCCCCAGATAGTGAACATTCTATTCAACAAGTAATTTCTGAATGCTAGCCCCCTCACTCACCTCCCCCTTGCTTAGTGTCGCCAGTGTCTGTTATTTCCATCAATGTGGCCATTTAGCTCCCACATATAAGTGAGAATACGCGGTGTTTGGTTTTTTTCTGAGTTAGTTCACTTAGGATGATATTCTTCAGCTCTATTCATGCTGATGCAGAGGACATGATTTGGTTCTTTTTTTTTATGGCTGTGTAGTATTCTAAGGAGCATATATACCATTTTCTTTATCCAGTCAATCACGGGTGGGCACTTTGGCTGGTTCCATGATTTTGCTATTGTGAATAGTGCTGCAATGAACATATGAGTACAGGTATCTTTTTTATATAATGATTTCTTTTCCTTTGGGTAGATCCCTAGCAGTGGGATTACTGGGTTGAATGGCAATTCTATTTTTAGTTGAGAAATCGTCACGCTGTTTTCCACAGAGGTTGAACTAGTTTATAATCTCACCAACAGTGAAAGAGTGTTCCCTTTTCTCCGCAACTCTACCAACATCTGCTATTCTTTGACTTTTTAATAACAGACATTCTGACTGGTGTGATGCAATATTGCATTGTGGTTTTAATTTGCATTTCTCCGATGATTTGTGATGTTGAGCATTTTTTCATATGTTTGTAGGCCATTTGTGTGTCTTCTTTTGAGAAATGTCTATTCATGTCCTTTGTCCATTTTTTGACTGGATTGTTTTTTTTCTTGAGTTATTTTGTGTTCCTTGTAGATTCTGAATATTAGTCCTTTGCCTGAGGCATAATTTGCAGATCTTTTCTCCTGTTGATTTTCTGTTCACTCTATTGATGATTGCTTTTGCTGTGCAGAACTTTTTTAATTTAATTAAGTCCCTTTTGTCTATTTTTGTCTTTGTTGTAATTGCTTTAGGGTCTTTGTCATAAATTCTTTGCTTAGGCTAATGTCCAGAACAGATTTTCCTTTGTTTTCTTCCAAGATTTAAAAAAAAAATTAGTCTAAGGTCTTACATTTAAGTCTTCAATCCATCTTGAGTTAATTTTTGTATATGGTGATAGAGGTGCAGTTTCATTCTTCTGCATGTGACGAGGCAGTTTTCCCAACACCATTTACCAAATATGGTGTCCTTTCCTCATTGTTTGTTTTTCTCAGCTTTGTCAAAGATCAGTTGGTTGTAGGTATGTGGCTTTATTTCTGAGTTTTCTATCCCATTCCATTGATCTGTCTATTCTTGTACCAGTACTGCACTGTTTTAGTTATTATAGCCTTGTAGTATAATAGTCTTGAAGTCAGGCAGTGTGATACCTCTGCATTTCTTCTTTTGACTTAGGATTGCTTCGGCTAGTTGGGCTCTTTTTTGGTTCCTTGTAAATTTAAGAGTGTGTATACAGATGCTACTAATTTCTGTGTATTGACTTTTTTATCCTGAGACTTTATTGAAGTTGTT